AAATTGAATCAGCAACTGTGTGAATAATAATTTAAGTGCCTGGGTCTTCTCCATTTATGAAATGTTTAGCAACTGACAGTACTAATTTTAAGAATGTCTCTGATGAGGTATTTTTAGTATGAATTATCAAGGATCCAGAAGAGGTCTCACAGAGGATGCTTGGAAAATTTTGGTGTTCTTAGGTTAATCAGATTCCAAGAGGAGTATTTGAGCCCCCAGAAAAAGTAAAATGTGCTGGTTTCAAAGAAATTCACTCATGATTTAAAACATGCCCCCTTCTCTCCCCGGGGTGCATGTACGTCTGCACTGATGGTTAAGTTGATAAACCTATTTCCCTGGTTATTGCTGATCCTAGCTAGTGTATTGATTCAAGACTCCCTGAAAGAATAATTTAGAATATAACAAAACACAAATGAAAAAAGATCTTTTAAATGATCTCAATGACGTATATATGCATCTCACTGTACAGTTTCCCATCTGCCACGTGGATATCAAAAGCAAGGTCATAACCTTTTGGGGACCAACTGTCACACACCACACTCAGCAGGGTGGGGAGAGAGCGCCCTGTGCTGCATAGGAGGAAACAGGACTGTCAGGATGAAGGCCAGGACTTCCTCTTAGTTGTTTTATTTCCTTTTATTATGCTGTCCTTGTTTGAAAATTGTTCAGGCTGGGAGAAATAAAAATAAAAACTGCTCACAGAGTTCTGCACACAATTAAGTGTGCACATAGACTCGTGCTGATACATACCTCTTCTTATTGGAAATGTTGCATGTTCAGGCTCTCTGAGGCCCCTTCCGTCCCTGAAATGATGCGATTCTAAAAGTTAAGATGGTTTCTCTTAACTCAGTGCCAGATAGAAGAGACTTCTATTTGAGTGACAAGCACGTGGTACAGCACTCATCAAACAAACTTCTTTTTGCATCAGATGGAGGCTACTGCAGAATTGCACATCTGGTAGGCCCAGTGAACATACGTCTGGGAGATGCCCAGTACTCGGCGACACATCTGCGGTTGAATCTCTACAACTAAGGCCATGGAACATAATGGAATAAGGGGTAGAGAGAGGACTAATGCACCCCTCAACTCTCACTAATGAGGCTCCCTTGACATCAGAGTGTGATGTACACAGAAGGCCACATCTGGCAAAGTTTTGGAGAATAAGAGACTGTAGAGTATAGGATGGGACTCCTGTATGGAGCTTCACCCACTCACGGCTCAGGGACCATTGTGGAAGAGGAGGTGTAAAAATTGTAAGAGTCAGGGCTTGTTCATGATTACAGGGAGATGGAGGCTTCCAGGCCACTGGAGGCTTGCTTGTGTGAGCCTGTGGCAGCAGTGGCATCAAACGCAGGACCGATGTCAGCTCAATGAAACAAGGACCCAAAGGGGAAGTAAAAAATAGGTGGCAGGCCAGCACTAGATTGAGAACTGTTTGAGATTGATTGGTGCTGGGTGAGGGAGAGTATGACTTACATATGATCACTGGATGGGCTGACCAGTGGATGCATTTACACTGAAGGACAGTTGGGTAGAAACACCTGAATGGCTAGACTTAGCATGTATGGCAGAGTACATAGTGTTCAGTGGTGGGATAGGAGGAGGCATGGATGGGGGATGAGGGTATGGATTTGAGTGGAAAATGTATGAACTTTAAAAGGCTCAATAAAAATATAAATAAATAATAAATAAAATAGAAGGGAGACTCTTTAGGAGGAGGAAAGGGACTAGTAGAAGAAGCATCAGAGAGAAGAAGGAAGTGGGGGGTTTAATATGGTCAAAGTACGTAATACAGTTGAATAAAATAAAAATATTATGAAACATTGCTTTGTATAAAAATTACATCAATAAAAATTCCAAATGTGAAAAAAAGATGGTTCCTCTTAGAAGAATGGCTTCTTGAAGTAGAGATCTCTGACCAGTTTTACCAATCAATAGTAAAGACCTTTCATTTTAATTGTCATAATAATTGTACATACTTCTGGAGTCCAATGTGATAACTCAATAATGTACACAATATGCAATGATCATATCTTTTCTCTGTTATAGCATTGTGATTTTTCTTCATACTGCTTTAGGCTGTTGTAAACTATAATCACCCTATTGGGCTATAGAACACAAGATCTCAGAGGTATGTTGGAATACAGGTGTGAAAAACAGGATAATTAAAAAAAATTCATTTTGTGTGTATGAGCATATTACCTGCATGTGTGTAAGTGAACCTGTGTCATATAATGCCTGCAGAGATCAGAAGAGGGTATTGGATTTCTCTAAAACTGGAGTTAAAGGGGGTTGTTAGCTGCCATGTGAATTCTGAGAATTGAACCCAGGTCCTCTGTAAGAGCAGCCAGTGTTCTTAACCACTGAGCCACCTCTCCAGCCCCAATAAAAATTATTTTTACCCAGTTCAGGTTATGCATAGTAAAGGTGTGTCCAGCTGCAGGTGTCTGAGGTACAGGATGATAGACAGTTAGCTGGAGTTCAGGGGACTCTACTGCTGACCTCTGAGTTCCTGGTCTTCACCAGCCCTCACTTCTCGCCTCTTTCATTTGCTCTTGGCATTTCCTCAGTCCACCTGACTGAGCTATGGATCATCTTCTATGACCTTTCTCAACAACCCGAGACTTCTTGTTCTTAATTTATTTTGCATTAGGGAAAACAGCCTTACCTTAACAACTCATTTTTATACTTTATTCATTTTGAATAAGGGAAAAGATAATACATTTGTGCAATCCAGTTACTAAATGTGAGATACACTTAATTAAAAACATTTCATAGCACATTTTTGAGGTATAATTTATATATTATGAATTTCACCTGTTAGACTTTAGTAAACTTACAGAATTGTGCAAACCATCCTCGCAATTCAGTCATAGAACTTTTTCATTTAGCTCTAAATTTCCCTCCTACCCACCTGTAGTTAATCCCCATCCAACCTCTCCAGACACTGGTAATCACTGCTCTGAAATCTGTCTCTATAAATTTGCTGTTTTCTGAGAATTTTGTAAATGGGTCACACAGTATGAAGACTTTATGTATCTGGTTTCTTTCACCAAAGCATAACATTTATGAGGTTAATTAATCCTGTCACATATATTAGTAGTTTGATTCCTTAATCTCAGAATAGTGTTCCTTTGCACTTTATAATACATTTTGTTATCCATTCATCAGTTGGTGACCATTTGTATTTTTTTCCAATCCATATATTTTGGCTATTATGAGTAAGGCTGTAGCAATTATTGACCTCCAGATCTTTGTGTGGAATCACGTTTAATTCCTCTTGGAAAGGATCCTAAGAGTAGAAATCATGAATTAGTTGTGTATTAGAGTACAGTTGCCTTCATAAGAAATTGTTAAACTGTCTTCTGCAGTGGCATTGCAATCTTATATTCTCATCAACAATGCACAAGCATTTCTATTTCTCATAATCCTTACTGGTATTTGACAATGCCCCTTTTCCTGCCCGATTATAAACATTGTGTGTATAGTAGACTCTCCATAGTCCATTTACATAGTACCTGCCTCTCCTATGTTTGTTGGTCTAGTTTCATTTTTTGTTTACTTATGTATTTCTTTTTTAGACAGGGTCTCACTATGTAGCCTTGACTGGCCTAGAACTTGCTATATAGACCAGGCTTGCCTTGAACTCAAAGAGATCCACCTGCCTCTCCCTTCTGAGTGCTGGGATTAAAAGCATGCACCACCACACCTGGCCTGTATAGCGGAATATTATCGTGATTCAAACATGCCTTTATTTAATAACTAATAATATTAACACCTTTTGTGTATTTATTATTCATTTATATATCTTCAAAAGGCCTTTCTATTCAAGTCTTTTGCCTTCTTGTAATTGGGTTATTTGTGTTATTTTAGATATAACTCCTATATATGACTTACAGATATTTTTGTGAAATATGGCTTTTCTTTTCATTTTGTTAATGATGTCTTTGAATAGCTTGTACTTTTGATGTCTTGTCTAGGAGTTCTTTGCCTAATCCAGTGTCACAAAGGCTTTCCCCTTATATTTTCTTCTAGAAGTTTAATATTTACTCTTACATTCAAGTCTGTGATCTATTTTGAGTTAATGCTTGAATATGGTTTGAGTTGAAGGTCAAAGATCATATTTTGCACATTTGGTATCTAATATCTCAGTGTCATATGCTGAAATGAGGATCCTCTTCTCATTAAATTGGCTTGGGATGCTGCACATTTCATTATTATTAAACCTTTCTCCAAAACATTATTTATTGCTGATGTTATATTGATTTCATATACTGATTTAGAGACTTGTAGAGCTGAACAAACTGGAAGTTCCACAAGCAGTAGAGAACAGAACCAGTGTAAGAGTTCTGGTTTACCCTAAGCCAAGATCTTATACTCTTGGTAAACTGAGAAATTATTTCCCTGCATGTACTTTATTTCCATATTAAATACCATCTTCCTGAGATTGCATAAGACATATTCTCATCTTGCCAATATAACCTTGGTAGGTTCTGAGTTAAGCAGTAATGTTTGTGTGGAAAGTAACAGCTGTTTAATGTAGACAGGGTATTTGCCATTGTTTTTACTTACCATTTGCAATTTCAACTTTCACTTTGAAAGAATGTGTTAAGAAAAGAAGTACTCCCCTTCCATAAAAGCGATTTGTTCCAGATGAGCATGATTACATTAAGTACTGTGGTGATCTAAGAAGATCTTTTCTCAGCCTTAATTATCAAGGATCTTCCAGGAAACAAAAACTAAAAGTCAGTGATAAAAGAAAGTGATAAAAGTGCTTGGCTTGGGACTATTGTCTAGTCTTGGTTCTGCAGTAACTTGTCATAAGACCCAGCAAGTCATAAGATTCCTCTGTGCCACAGTCTTCCCATTCATAAAACCACATGTGTGGACCAGGTTAGCATTAAGTTCTCCCTGCCCCATCCTAGGCCTTTGCTCCATAAGATACTACTATACGGTCAATCTTGCGTAGATGACACATCGGTAGCTTCTCTTGTTTTCAGACTGCAGCGAGGATCTGTTTCACTGTCACACAGGCAAGTGCCTTAATCACAGCTTTGTGTGTGATGGGTATGATGACTGTGGGGACCTCAGCGACGAGCAAAACTGCGGTAAGTAGCATCGTTTCCTTAAAGGTTTTCAGTGGAAACCACAGGCGTTTGTAACCAAGAACTCCTTTATGAATATGACTAGCAGGTTCAGTTACGCAATGGCAGGGTTTCTTATTTTTTAAAAGGAAAGGGTTGTTCAAGCACTGGTGTAAGTCCCATCTTATGTGTCAATGTACTACTCTTCATGTAACAACCATATGAAGGAAATGTAAAGGAACTGAAGTGGACAGATGGTGAAGTTAAAGTGATTATATTTTTTCCTCTGTGTTAGTGTTCTGTTTATCCTCTGGCTAAAGCCTGTAGCTTATGTTTGGATATTAAGCTCTTGAGCAAAACTTTGCAGAAAGATATATTACAAAGTACGTGTGACCAAAGATCCCTCCTACGTCTGATTCCCGAGCACCATTTTGTCATATAGCAACTCTTTGCATGGGATATACACCAAGGATTAGGATGACGCATTGGTTTTATGTGCAAATGCTGATCTGATCTTTTAAAGCACAGACCTACCTTTTAACAAGCCATATTCAAGGCCTCATCGTGTCTTGTGAATCTAAACTAGCAAAATCACTCTTGCTTATTGATCTTTATGGCTTTGTGATTAGCTTTAGAATTTTAGGTGCTATATTACTGACAGTAGGAACTTTGCATTATGTGCCAAAGGACAAACTTGGATGAAGACTGACACTGGACAGTGGATGTGAGACAATGATTTGGTCATTATTGAAGAGTAGCAAAAGGAATGTGAGCCAGGGAATGTCTTGGAGTGGTGTGGGTCAAAAAGTAGTAGGCTTGGAAGTTTGGTAGTTTCTAAGAGCATTGTCTAACTTCCTGTCACTGCACCCATAAAATGTTGAAAACTGTAGGTACATAAATTATTCACAGGTGATAAAATAGATGTGAGACCGACTGGATTTGGGGCAAAATATGAGAGAGAATTGTAATTCTATCATCATAGAATCTAGCTGGAAGAATCTTTACAACTAAGCCACACCCCTCCTTCTTCCAGTGAAATAACTGGGAGGATGTGAAAGTGCTACAGTGTGTGGAGTTCAGAAACTGGGCATGCTAATGGGTAGCATCGGTGTGTGACAAGGCATTGCTATTTACCATAAGGCCTCTGAAGATAGGCAGATATACAAAGCTTATGCTCTTGGGATGTCTTCATTGAATAGCAGATAGTGTGACCTGCCCACGGGGCAGACTTGCCCTGCTCTTTGTCTTCAGTGGACTGAGCATGTGTAGATCTCTGGCTCCTGGCCAAGCATCCTGCCGCTTGTGATTTCTTTCTTTTCTCTGCATTATGTCTTCCATGCACTTGGATTTATTGCTCCAAAGTACTCAAGATCCATGGTTGTTCAAGAGTCTTTGACAGGGACTTTGTTCATGGAGACTCATGAAACTTACTCATTATTGCATCTGCTATTTGTGAATCCATGAACTGCAAAGAGCTATTTCTCTTTAGGTTATAACATCCCTCACAGTAAAGCAGTCTATGAATTCTTCCCTTTAAGAGAGGAAATTTAGCATTTAGTGCACCCCCATTCCATCCTGCCAAACCTCCAGGAATGTGTGGATTAGGGCAGAGTATATATCTAGACTGAAAGAAATCATAAAAATAATAATGTTTTCCTTTCTTGGCCAGAAATTCTTTCAAACATGAGTTATAGATTAAGATAATTCAGTAGAAAACCTAGGCTTAGCATCAGGAGAGATGGCATAAGAAGATCCTTGTCTGTCTAGTTTACCAAAGGAATGTTATGATTCATAGAACCACCACAGACCCATCCTTAACACATGGCAGCAGCCATTTGCAATGCAGAGCACAAAGCTCACTTCTGTTCATTTGACTCACTGTAAAAGTCACAAACTTTTCTTAAGTAAACAAACAGTGCCAATAATTAAATACCTCAGGGTCCTGAGAAACAGATATGGCTTCATCCACAGTGGGGCTCAGGCATGGTGGATGGTTAACACTTTAATTGTGTCAGACCCATCCTAGAAATGTTACTGAAGGCACTGCAACAGTAAGAATGGATTCTCTTCAACTGGAACCACAAGCTGTACAATTCTAAATATTTTCCATGCTTTTTCTCCCTGTCTTTATGAGTTTTCCTTTTCTCTAGATTGCAATCCCACAAAAGATCATCGCTGCGGGGATGGGCGCTGCATCGCAGCTGAGTGGGTGTGTGATGGGGACCACGACTGTGTGGACAAGTCTGATGAGGTTAACTGCTGTGAGTCCCCTGATAATTCTCATTTTGCTTATTTTTCTTCTCTTGACTATACTGAAATCAAGTTCATTATCTAAACAGCAGTCAAAGAGAGTGATTCTTAAGCTTTGGTTCTACGTATCTGGTTCTTTCTTCTGTCTATGAGGGTAACATTTAAGAAAAGTGACAACAGTGACATTACGGGTCCGATGCCACACCTCTTTCTTTCATACTCCAAGCTTAATTTGACTGATCTGGGCAGCAGTGTGTCTTCTCTCCTGTTGCTCATGTATGTGTCTGTGACTTTATCAAAGGTTAATTATCTTCCCAGCAACCAGAGAACATTCACCCCGCAAATTATATATGAAAAGCCAAACTCCTTGTGGGTGCCTCCATGCATGTTCTCAGGGGCATTTGTGGCAGAACAGCGGGAGAACTGCCAAAGACAAGAAAGCCTGTTATGATCATATAGTGACACAGAAAGTGCATGGTAGTAATTATCATTTTACAGCCTGCTCTGTTTCTGGGTAAATGAAAACTCTCAGGTTGCTTTCACATCACCAAACCAGTAACAAAAAGTATGATTGTTAACCATGTTTTTCCTTCTAGAAAATATTCTATCCCTCAGAAAACAGAAACTTGTTGAACAGTAACATATTAAATGAGTGTACAATTGACCTGAAAGAATTAATATTATATATTTCACATGTATTTGAACTAGTTTTTTTAGTTCACTTTTTTGCTTGCTAAGTAGGAAGAGTAGGTACATAGTTTTCTCTTGGTATCTGCAGGGCATTGCTTACAGGGCCCTAGGTTGGTATCAAAGTCTGAAGATGGTCAAATCCTTTATATAGAAAGGTATATTACTTGCATATAATCTTAAGATATTTCTCCTTTACTTACAATACATGATACAATGTAAATGTTCTGTGGATAGTCATTAAACTGTATTGTTTAAGGAACAATGATTAAAAAAAAAACTGCCTGTACCTGGTCAGTACAAATGCATATCCCTCCCCACTTTTTTTTATTTGGACCTGTGGATATTGTATATTAGGCTGAATATTTACTTGGCTTGTAATTTGGAGTTAAAAATAGAAATGAGGATAACGTAGTTTAAATTTTGACATAAGAAAAGTTGTGTTAAAAGTTTCATAAACAAGGGGTGGAGAGATGAATCAGTGGTTAAGAGTACCTACTGCTCCTGCAGAAGACCCAGGTTCAGTTCCCAGCACCCACATGGTGGCTAACAGTTGTCCATAACTCCAGTTCCAGGGGATCCGACCCTCTCTTCTGACTTCCTTGGGCATTGCACAACACGGGTGCACTTACATGCATGCAGGCAATACACTCATACACATAAATAAGGTATATTTTTTAAAAGTTTCATAAACAGGATACCTGACTTTCTCCCCACTGAGCTGATTGATCTTTTTTTCCTCTTTTAATGTAAATCCCTAAATTCATTTATTTATTTAAATTTTTTGTTTGAGACTTGCATATAATGTTTTGATCAAATCCACTCTCCCTCCCTCCCCTCCAACTCTTTCCATATCCCTCATCATCACTTTTCCCTTCCAACATTATCTGCTTTTTAAAAATTAGCCCACTGAATTCATTTAGTGCTGCCAGAGGTAACAGGACTGCTGTGAAATGGTGTTTTTCAGACGTGATGGGGCCTTCCACACATAAACCCACAAAACCTGTGACTGTATGCACGCACAAGACCTGAACAAAATGAAGCCAGCCAAAATTCCAGTGTGGATGGGGAAGGGGCTCATGAAGGCCCACCCCTGACTGAAGAGCTTTTTGACAATTTATGGATGCTTGGGGAGGAAGAGTCAGTTTTCTTCAGTGATATGACCCCTGATAGGCTGCCTAATGGATGGCCCTATACCCTGAGCTGAATTTGAAACAAATGGAATAAAATGGTCATATGAGAGGAAGAGAAAGGTGGTCAAGTAAAACATGTTTGGTTCTGAGCCTTGATTCAAGAACAGGGTCTTAACATTAGATAGCAATTCAGTGAAGGTTGAGGTTATGTGACACATGGGTTTCTGATGTTTGAAAGGGCAGGAGGTATAGAATGAAAAAGGGGACTAAGGGCAGTATAGAATCTTGAGAAAGAGGACTAAAGGCAACTATTTCAAAGATTGGGTGCCATGAATAAGTTAAATGAAGTATTTGTTGCGTGGTAGGAACTATGGAAATTCTTTCAAACATACTATTTCACTGGCTTGTTAGATTAAGTAGACACAGAGTGAATGTTTAGAGTCAGACAAGCTTGTCTTTCTATTCTGGCTCTACTTTGTAACAGTTGTGTGACTTTGAAATGAAAATTTTCAACTTAAGGTCTTCATCTGTAAAACAAGGACTAAAATATTTGTTTTGCAAGATTTTTTTTATGAAGATTTGAAATTCATATATGTAGTGTACCTCCCATGGTTCTGGCCATGTGATACACCCCTTATGACCTGCAGTTTTTATTATTGGTGGTATCACTGCTGGTATTATTGAAAACAGACACATAGTTCTTGATAAGTACTCTTTAGTAATGAAGAAAAGGTTCTTGAAAGAAAGAAAACCTTCCATTCCATAAATGCTTGGAATTAAAAGCAAAAGTAGTGCTGCATCCATTTGTGTTTGCACAACACGTCATATCTGATCGGCAGGATGGAAGAAAAGTCTATACATAAGGTGAATATTCTTCTGGCCTTCCCTAGCCTGTCACAGCCAGGGTCTGGTGGAGTGCAGAAGTGGACAGTGCATCCCCAGTACCTTCCAGTGCGATGGGGATGAGGACTGTCGGGACGGGAGCGACGAGGAGAACTGCGGTGACAGTGAGTATGCCCCCCTCCCCCATACCAGAGTATTTTATACTGGAGGATCTCTCTTTGGAAACAAAGCAGAACCTTTGAGAGTCACCTTGTGCTTAAGTAAGATTTCCATACAGAAAATTAAAGACTTCCTAATGCATTGGTCCTCAGAGCCCTGGTCATCTTTTCTTTTGTGAAATGCAATGTTTAAACAGCACAGGCTAGAAGATCATTCCTAAGGCTATTGGCTAAAGAGAAAAGTTTAGTGTATATAGCATCCAATTAAATATAATTAGATTCCAATTAGAAGGAATTGGCTCCTGAAATTAAATGTAATCACTTCCTAAAATAACCATGTTCAAAGAGACACTTTAATGTCTCACATTGCCAAATAATAAACCTAAATATACTTTAGAAGGAGTAAAATTTCCATGCATGAAACTTGAAAAAGCAAATCAAATATGTTGAGTTTTAAATGTGATTATTTCTGTGCAAAAAAATCACAAGTTCCACACTGATTATTTTAAGCCCTGGTTTGTATGGAAACCTCTTATCATGGGGCTGGCAGGAATATCCCCACATTTAAAAATCCCCATGTGGTGTATCTAAATCCCCATGTGGTGCATCTGATGTCAGCATGGCACAGTTGGTGAGCACATGGCTGTTGTCCGTTGGTGCTGAGCTTTGAGCCCAGTGCTGTGACTTACTGTCTGATTGGCTTTAGGTGAGTTACTTCATCTTTCTGTGTCATAGTTTCTATGACAACTCAGAATAATAATAACTGCTGTGGGGGGCAAGTGCCTGGTGAGAGTTCAATAGATGTCTGTTATTACATCACTGATATGGAATCTTTCATATCCTGGTAATTCATTCTAACCAAAGGGCTGTTGGAGCTTACAGTCTCCTGGGGAAAACAGCCTTGCAGCCAATATCCAACCATGAGGTAGTCTGGGCTACAGAGGAGAAGTCAGGGTGCTGTGTTGCTGTATATGTATGTATATGTACTTCTGAAAAAAGGCCTCAGGCAAAGCTCCTGAGGAAGAGATAACTGTAGTGTGTGAGTTGAAGAATGAATGGCGTTTTAAAGGAAGAGGGGCCTGGAAAAAGCATGGCAGACCAACAATGTCACCTGGTCAAATCTTGAAGTAGGAAGGAATCAGATGTGTTCAGGCTACTGACAGAAAACCATATTGTAAATTTTCCTAATCCTAGCCTTTTTCTGTGTTGCATTTCTGATCAGAAAACCCTTCTTTCCTTCTCATCAGAACTTAACCCATTTGCCTAGAATCCTTTTTAGAGATGCTCCACCCCCTTGTTCTGGTCTGCTTCAACGTTGATACGGTCTCTGGCAGAGTGATGTTTTCCCAGCCAAGGTGTTGCTCATGACAGCATCCATGTTGGAGTTTGAGCTGCTTCGCTGAGAGCACCAGGCTTTTCTGTCTTTCAATATTAAATTCCTAGCTTGTCATACAGTCTTGTTACAAAGCAAGCACTTAATAGTTGCTAATCTAAGGAATGCATGATGTTTAAAAATATTCCAAAGAGCTTATACTTATGAAAATTATTTGTCTTGAGAAAAAAACATGCAAGCCTACTTATTTAAAAGAACAATAGTGACATCTTTTCTGCAAGGGGATAATGTACAACATTTCATATGAGTGAGTCTGGAGGAAGGATTCTAGTAAAATAGATATTGCCTTAGAATTATAGATAAGCATGATTATATAGACACATACATGATTATTTATACTGAAGAGTGTCTTGCAAGGTTTTCTGGATTCCAGATGACATGTCTGAAAGTAATTGGCCATAATAATGGGAGAGAGATGGAAAGAGAACGGGCAGTAATTTATTACTTTACCTACTTAATCTGCAAATGACCAGGAAATCAATGGAAAAAGCAGTTTCTGCTCTACATTCCTTAAGGAAAAGCCATTAGGGCAAAGGCTGATGTCGCTGCTGCCATTCATGTGGAAATAAGAAACTCCTATCTCAGGTCACTAGAGCCAGGTTGATGGTGCTTTCCAAGGATGCACCAAAAGTATGGTTAACAGCTGTGAAAGACTCGCACTGTGATTTTAAAAAACCCTTGCTGTATTCATGTTGGTGCCCTATTTATTATGGGAGAAAGTATTTTCCTTAAACGGGGAGTTGGGAGCAATTGAGCCTTTAAAATATCACTTACTGTCCAGCTTGATATCTTTGTTACTCTTTTATGTTCAAATACCTTGAATCTTATTTTGTGAAGTATAGGTACCTATATGAAAACAGTATTATTTTCCCCACTAAAAACAACCACCTGTATTATCTTTACTGTAGTTTGCCTCTTATCTGTCCATTTGTACAAAATCCTTTTGTAATAATTGAATTTTATTTAGTTTCCCAGGAACATGAGTCCAGAATGTGCCTGTTCCATATGAGTTCGTTATGTGGGTGGAGATTGGAAGAAAATTAAAGTTGTATCATCCCACAGCTCCAACAGACATTCTTGATCCTTTAGATGATGGAGTGTTGGGAATTTGCAGGTGACGAAAGCCTCTGGGCCTTTCCCCCTTCACAGGTCAGACTCCATGTCAAGAAGGAGATCAGCGATGCCTCTACAGTTCCTGCCTTGATCCTTGTGCTGGTAGCTCTCTGTGTGACCCAGGCAGCAGCCCCAGTAACTGCAGTAAGTGTAACAGCTGACAAAGGCCATCACTGAGACAGGCCATGCTTTCTGCCTCTTCCTACAGCATCGACATAAACTGCTGAAATTTGGACTTGTTCCAAAAAAGTCTATTTGTTTTGTCTTTTTTCCCCCCAAAGGTTGCATATGGTAGCAGAAAGAAACAAAATGGTCTTCATTAACTGAAATAAGAAACAAATGTGTGGTTGTGAATGGGCCATCAATCCACATTGCTTAATATCATTACCATCACTTTCAACTCAACATCAGCTCCTATAAATTATTTTCTTGGCTCCATCTTCAGGCAGATGTTGTCTTTCTTCTTTTTTAAAGCACAGCTTCCAAACTGGAAACTTCATCCCAGAAGCAGATAGGAAGCTCATTTAAATATTCACTTCACACTTGGGAAGTCTATTCTTTCAATAAATTTATTGTCAATGTTCCAGACACTTTGGTGACCTGTAGTGGTTTGGCATTCATTGTGTCAATCTGTTTCAGTGACAATGTAGTGGCTCCGATGGTGAAAGCAGGTGGCTGTCTCTAAGTTGGTTTTCAGTAGAGATTAGTTGAAGGAGGGCAGAATGGGCAGAAGTGAAGAAGATGGAATAAACTTTCATGGGACATTTTAAATGAATTTGAAAATCTCCAGTGACTGACTTCTAGAAACGACTTCTTCCTTCTGGGCTCTGTTGTCATCTCCTAGGCAGTTCTTTCACTGTGATAACTGTTTGCCTCATTTTCAGCATGGGGTTAGAAATGGAGAAGCAGCTCAGTTAGCTTTTGGGTGTCAAGAGAGAGATACCTCTCAACATACATCCTCTGTGTCAAGGTCATTGGAAGCTTCCAGGCCAGAAGACTGAAGGGCTCAGGGCCTTGGACTTGCTGCAGTGTGTCAGTGGCCCTGTGGCATCTGAGGTGATTTAAATCTCAGATTGGCAGTAGGTCAGTGCTCGTTGATGCTAAATAACCATTTGGCTAAAAGCAAAACCTAACACCCTCTGCAGTTCTTACATACGGCGCAGTTTCCCTTAATTATTAATTCATTGTTCTGCTGTTAATAACATAATACCACAGACAATTTATAAAGAAGCTTATTGTTCATAGTTCTGGTCCAAGTTTGAGAGGTCCTCTCTGGCAATGTCCTTCTTGCTGGTAGAGAATCAAATAGCACAGAGCTATCTTCCATGAAGATAGAAAAGAACTCTGTTCTCTCCTAGCAAGTCCTTAGTGCTCAGCCATGGGACTCAACCCCAACAGTCTTACCAAATCCTCATCACCTCCCACAGGACAAACTTGTAAACATAGTCTGATTCTCTATTCTTAATACTTCACAGTAGGGATTAAACTTCAGAGGGGACAGACCATAATGTCCTGTGACAGAACGATAGACATTAGTTTGGCCTTTAAGAAGACACACTACAAAGGACATGGGACATAACTCAATTGGTAGAATGCTTACCTAGAATGCACAATGCCCTAGATTTGGTCCCTAGCATCATATGGGTATGGTGGTACATGTTCATAATCCTAACACTCAAGAATTAGTGACAGAAAGATTAGAAGTTCAAAGTCATCCTCAGCTACACGGTGAATTAGAGGCCAGCCTGGGATACATGAGACCCTCTCTCAAAAATAATTCTTAAGTAAAAAAGTAAACAAAAAACCAGATTGGTCATTTTACTCTCTTTAAACCAAGAGTTCAGCCTACGTATTTGCTTATAGAGATAAATGTGAGTAGGTTCTTGGCCCGTTTATTCTGTTATTTTGCTTTGCTTCCCTCAGGCCTGGATCCTTTTCAGAATGATTTCAATCAATTTGAAGTTTGACAGTCATTTCAAAGACATATGTTTATTATTGAAGTTTTCGGTGTTGTTTGACATGGAATGGCACTTCTGTTAGACTCAAAACACAGAGAGGAAAATGTTAGCCTGCATCAGATATGGAAGGGGAAAACAGTATGTTCTTCACATTTGAAATACTTCACAATCTAGAATTTTAAAGTATGTTGTCATCTCTCAAACAACAGTCATAAGAAGGGCGAGCAGATACCTCTCGCTTGTGTATTAATCCAGATTTGTAATGTGTGCACAAGGTTCCAGGCACCAGAATGAGAACTGGTCTTGTAAAAGGGGAAGAAAGGAGTCACGCCCCTAGCTTCCTGGAGGTGACATCGATTGTGGAGGGCAGCATGTAGTCTTCCCACTCAAACACACCACGTTGTTCTCTCCCTGTTCTTACAATACAATCCCTAGCATCTCACCAGCTTCCTCGGTCTCCATGTACATCCCTGCCAACCTCTCTCCACACATAGCAAACATTTGATCATGACCTCATCTGAGAGCCAAGCACTGGGTCAGGCATTCGTCTTTTAATCCTTCCATTACTGAAAGTAATGTATGGTGCCAACTTCTAGCTATCTTTCAAAGGGTTTGGAGTGGATTATGTGTGCTTCTTTCCCTGTAGCATCTCATCTCATAAACCTTTTCATGAAGGTGAGACTATTTGACATTGCTTACCATTATCAGTGTCAATGATATTAACTTCTTGACCACACCCCCATAATTTTTGCTCCTTCCTATCGGGGCCTGCAAAGAGAGGGCAGGGAATTATAGATTGGTAGGAAATTATTCAGAGCAAAGCTGCCCATTTCCCTATCTTCTTCAGTGTTGAATAAGAACCTTAGAATGAGGAGGAAAAGGAATGAGTAGACACACACAATGAAGTGTATCACTGCAACGTGAGTCCTGAGCACAGGTGAACTGCACTATCTCTGGTTTGATGCCTGTGACATGTAAGTTTGAAGGTCAGTTTTCAGCCTGCCCTTTCCTGGAGCTTCTTGGATTCTAGATACTGAGGAAACTACTTCTTACCATCCCATAGAATATACAAAACTTTTCAGTGGTCCCTGAAGATAGACTCGGTGGGACTTCATCTTCAGGATGCTTTATATTCCACAGGTGATTTCTCTGTGAAGCCAAGGTTAACCATTACTGCTCTGGTGGCCTATTTTGTGACTAAGCTACATGGAGTCATGCCTATGAAATTGGATGTGGAAAGTTTTTCATATTCCTCTGTATTTTTTTCACAAGAGAAGACTCATGCCTTACTTTAGATTACCAGAAATGCCTGCCATTGCAAACAAAAACTCTAATGAGACAATGTACCGAGGGACTCAAAAGAATCACAGTGCTCTCATCAGGAGCAGCTTTGAGAAGCATGGACTACTCTGTCCAGTGCCCGCCCAACATCACTGACATCTTCATGCCTTAAAGAGGGCAAATTGCATACGTATCCTTGCCTTAGGGGATAGGAGGAGGAATGCTGTTTCCCCTCATTCTGACACAGAGGAACCAATCCATCACTTCCCCCTCATAGTGTGTAGTCTAGGCAGCTGGGGAACTAGGTAGATAGAGCAGTGCCCATGCTTGTCTCCACCTATCTGTGTCCAAGTTCACCATGGCCCTGTGAGGCCTGGTGTGGCTGACATGCTTCCAAGCATTCCTCTGAGTTTCCAGTTTCTATCTTCTTTGCTTCAATTGAGAACTTAGGTATTTTCTGACTCCACTTTTGAAGGCTCTTGTGAACACTGAAAAAGAGGTAGAAACAAATAGCTTTGCTCTGAATGACTTCCTTCCCGTGCATATTTTCCTGTAAGCTCAAATTGGAAGAACAAATAGCGTGAAGGTGTGGTCAAGAAGAGAAATATCACAATGGGTAAGGACTCCAGTCCTTGGGAGCAAATAATAGATGGGAGGAATGATCTCTTTATACAGGCATCCTCACCCAGCAGGTGAAAGGTTAATGCCTGAATTTGGATGTTATTAGTGGGTAAGACAATGAGTTAATGGATCAAGGCATGGAGCACCAATGACTGTTGACTTAAGAAAAAGGGACATCAGACATAATGTGGCTGCTGAGGAGAGAATGCCACAGACACCTATAGTCCTACCAAAAACACCAAGCGTACCCCTAGACAGTCCTCTGGATTCAGTGGCCAAAGTTCAGGAAGGAGGGCAGATATGGAAATTCTTTAATGACATAGGAGTGTGTGACCAGGAAATCAAAATCCTTCTGTACTCTTCAGGGCAAATCTTGTGGATTTTCAAGAGAGTTATAGTTACAAATGTATTTATTCTGTAATAGTCCGCAAACTGTTAAAAATAGTAATAATAAAAAGAGGGTTAGGTTTTGGGGCAAGGATGAATATGTGGATATTAAATGTGTAACCAGATGTCATGATGCAACACTCCAAGGTCATTGGAAATGACGAATGACCTCAGAGTGTTCATCATGAAAAGTATGCAGCATTTTGTGTTTACAGTCCCATGTTTAGATAGATTTAACAAGTCTTGTTGTAGTCCATTGCAGACCATTGACAAACCATCAAACTTTTAAAAATGGATATTTATTAAACCTCATTTACAGTCAGGACTTGGTGCTACATGGTTGGTGGACCTTGCACTTGCACTCTAAGCCCGCAGGTCTTTGCTAAATATCTTCCTGTTTGTGACGTGGTCGCCCTCTAGTGGCCATTGCAAATTAGACTCTATTTTCGTGATTTAGCTATGAAAGCTTATTAAAGTCACAGAATTTGAATTTGGTAGGTATCTTGGGATTCTAACTTGCTCAAGCCTTATGAAGGAATCAAACACAGCATCCAACACACCTTACCACGCTCATTAAATCATAAT